TCTAAAAACCCAGAGTTGGAACCAAGCTGTATTTGTGAAATCATATTATGTAATAATTTTGTAGATTGAATCTTTGTGGAAGAAATAGAAACAATCAAAATGTGGGTTTTTTTTCCCTTCTCCAACGCCCTACCCCACAAGAGGGCAATGTACAGAAAGTGCTATAGCATTCCAGAAATCTTGCACCGTATTTGTTTTCTTATCTTGCAGCATGTAGCTATTGGAATTAAGAAGGTATTACATAATCTTTAGATAAAAAACAAAAGCCAAAAAAGAGATCCCTAGTGATAAATAAAGCTTTCTGATTAATCATGACGTATGCACTCTAGGTATTTTGTACTGGTATTTAGCTACATCATAAATCTCTTCAGGTTCTAGGATGAATAATGTTACAGCTCCTTACCCAATGGCTGCATGGCAGTCGCGCCTTATTTTTCTTACAGTAAGAAACATTTCAGGAGCTGCCTGAATCTGGTCTGTCGAGCTACCTTGTCTGTGAACCGAGATTGCAGTTTGCTGTGTCAATTTTGTAGTTGGCCCTGTATTTTTTAATGCATTCTTTCTTGGAATGTTTGTTCTGCTAAATCTTGTTTTTACAGAATGTAGCATTGGATTTATCTACTCTGCAACTATCTTAAAATACAGGTGTTTGGAACATTTGAACGCGTGGCTATGAATCTTTAAAAAATTTAAGTCTGAGTATATAAATGGGACATGGGTTCTGCCAGCCCTCAGGGCTCCCTTAGCTTTCACTTACTAGCCATATTATTTTCAGTCCTTGTTAAGAATAATGTCTGCCCTTTTTTTCCATACAGTAAACCTTGTAAAAGGTCAGACATTTGATATCATTACCTTCTCTAGAATGGTGGGTTTCCATGTGGCGTTTTGGATGGATGTTTATCTTGGTGAGCTGCTGCTGGCTTTTTTTTTTTTTTTTTTTTGGAGCTGTAGCTGGTCAGAGGAGGTATACACAAAAGCAAAGCATGCAGTGAGTTGTCTGTGAAGGGCCAACTGTTCTTTTTCTGGCAGTAGTGAAGATGGCTTGTTTGTGTGTCCTTTGAGACAGACTTGATTGAAAGCTGTCATATTTGTTAAATATTATGAGAATTCATGTCCCTCTTATTCCTTTTCTGGATCCAAAAATGGGTATTTCAGAACTCTTATTACGCTTTGTATGCATCTTTATGGTGAGAAGAGGGTGCAACTGCAAGGAGTCACTTTGTGGGAGCTAAGGCTCTTCATCTCAGCAGGTTGTTGCTGAAATTTTTATTCTTATCAGTGTAAAACCTGAGCATTCATTTCAAAGGTTTTCCTTGCAGTGAAGTTTTCTCCACTTCTTTGATGTTATTTGCATCTGGAGTCAATTCACATTCAGAAGTAGGACTTCTGAACTTTCCTGAGAAAAAAAAAAAAGAAAAGAAAAAGGAAAAAAAGAGGAGAGATTATCTATCAGAGGAAGTATAACCCAAAAGGAGGAGGGAATACAGAGTTAAGGACAGCAGACCTCCTGTGGATGAAATCTTTGTATGCAAAAGGCCTTAGGGTGGGGTACCCCTCCAATGGCCTTAAGTGGTAAGCTGTAACCTTGGTAAACTGTCTTGGCAAACTTTGTTGTTCATGTTTTGGATTTGGGAGAGGAATTTGATGTGGTTGCTGATGCTTCACTTTACAGAACCTAAAGCATATTCTTTCCAGGTTCTTAGTTGTTTATGCCCTCTCCCTTCTCCCCTTTCCTGTATCCCTCTTTCCTTCTTGACACATCCTTTTCTTTTGAGACTACTATCAAAGTGAGTTCAATACATTACAGAATGTAATTTGAAGTCCTCCTGACTGTTCCTTTGATCAGAATTATACGTTTCTTTGCCTTTTAGACAGAATTAACACTAGAAGTAAAAGAAGACTAAAAAGTCAAAAGAAGAGACTGTAAAACATGTTCCTTTAAACATTTAATATTGTTTACTGATATTGCTGTGAAGTTTCATCTTAAAACATATTGAAGTCATTGCCTCTTGGCTCCGAAATTATAAATAAAAAATTTCTTGAGGGTGATTTCCTAGTAAAACGATGAAAGCTAGAGAAACTCAGGCAGTGGCTTAGATTTCCAATTCATAAATTCCTTCTTGAGGCTTGTTTGGGGTTCATTGAAATTGTTACTCAAGTTTAGATAAACATGTACACTGACTATATAGTAAACTGGGTAACTAGCACTGATGAAAGGCTTTTGGATCAACAGATTTGATGGGTAACGTGGCGGTCTTGGTGTAGATGCTTCTGTTTTCTCTTGATCCCTATTTGTTTTCTGGTAGTATGGGTAGCACCTTTGGCATTGTTACATTTAATAAATTATTGAAAAGACTGTGCAGTGCATTTGAATCCCACCTCTTCATATAATTTTTTTATTTCTTTCAAATATGTATTTTCCAGGTCTAAAAAGGCCAAACCAAACAATTACCCTCAAAAAAACCCACCCAAAAACCCAAAAGAAAATAAAACCAGCCTCCTGATCTAAAACTCCCTGAAGAAGCCTATATTAGGTTTTAAACAGTTGAAATCCTACCTTATGGTGTACATTATTGTAATTATGACACCTGCACACTTTGTTACAGAAGGGAAAACTCCACATTTCTATCCAAGTGGCACTCTGCGGTGAAAAAAACTCCAAAACCTTCAGTGTATGAAAAAAACAAACTTAGAAATCCCCATCAGTCTTTTAAAGAGTTCTCTTGGACCTTCCTTTGAGTTTTAAAAAGTATACAAGAATCAAAAGGACTTTATATATTCTATTCTAGCGAGTACATTTTTGCATGATATATATGTTGAAGATAGCTTTGGTACTTTATGATTTTTTTTTGCTAAACTGTATTTATTTCCTGGCTAAATGAGGTTATAAGTTGAGTTAAATGGGTTCAGGGCTGGTTAGAGACAAGGCAATCTCTAAGCTGGTTTGCTTTCAGCTTTGCATTTAGATTGTCAATTAACTGGTTCTACTTTATTAGAGAACCCATTCTCTTACTTGGGCTGATTCCATGAAACAAGTTTCTGGTTTTTCTTCCATTGTGACTGAAATAGAAAGCTGACACTTGATGATACCTGAATAGAGTATGCATATATTACATCTTGTCCTGGTGCTTGGTGAGAGTGGTTTTGTAGTCACTGTTAAACATTTTCTTTGGAGGGTCTGGATGATCATTTGCTAGTTAGAAGATGATCACCATGATCCTTGTTTTCAAAATTCAAAACTGTTACTGAGTTGTCATATGGCTATTGAGACTTACACATTTTAAGTTGTCTTCATCATCTTTTCAAGTTACTGGGTATTTTCAATGACTCAATGGGAGTTTTAAACCCCTTGTGGCAATCCATATGTATGCATTTTTTGGTAGCTTTCTGTTGAAGCACTCATTCTGAACAAATGGTCATGAGATAGCTGGGTTTTGTGTGAGTACACAAATATTCCATGAATGCATAGTTAAAGAAGCAAAATACTTTGCCAGTAGTTTAGGAGTAACCTCTCACACCTGCAGTTTTTCTGCATCTTCTGATGTTGACTGTCGAAATAGACCATATTATAACTGAGGAAAAAGTGACCCTCTAGACTTGCTTTTGATTACATCGGTAAAAATACTGAACTCCTCCTGTATTCTAAGTTGAATTGTTAATTTTGTCAGACTGTATTTTTTATATTTGTCTGAATTACTCTCTTGGTTTTGGCTGGGATAGAGTAAATTGTCTTCTTAGTAGCTGTCATAGTGCTGTGTTTTGGATTTAGCATGAGAATAATGTGATAACACACTGATGTTTTAGTTGTTGCTAACCAGTGTTAATACTAAGTCAAGGACTTTTCAGCTTCCCATGCTCTGCCAGCGAGGAGGTGCGTAAGAGGCTGGGAGGGGGCACAGCCAGGCCAGCTGGCCCAAACTGGCCACAGGGCTATTCCAGACCATAGGACGTCATGCTCAGTATATAAGCTTGGGGGAGTTGGCCAGGGGACAGTGATTGCTGCTCAGAGATGGGCTGGGCATCAGTTGGTGGGTGGTAAGCGGTTGAATCACTTGTTTTTCCTGGGTTTGTTCCTCTCGCTGCTGCTGCTATTATTATTGTCATCATCATCATCATTATATTTTATTTAAATCTGCTCTTACCTCAACCCACAAGTTTTCTTGCTTTTGCCTTTCTGTTTCTCTCCCCCATCCCACTGGGGCTGGGGGCAGGGGGAGCAAGTGGCTGCGTGGTGCTTGGTTGCCAACTGGGGTTAAACCACAACAATTATGTAAACAAATACAATTTGGATCTGATTCTGTAATCCTCTGACGATTGATTTCTATCTGTATGGGAGACTTCTATTATACTCTAAAAGGCTCTGGATTAAGAAATTATTTTTGCTGTGTTTGCACAATTTCGTTCACATTGCCAATGCTTCATGTCATGGTAAAAAAAAAATAATTTTTTAAAAAATTCTCAGCCCCTTTAGAAAGCACACTTGATTTGTGTAGCTTTTCATATTTTGTTCACTTTAACACGGAAGGTACTTATTTAGTATGTAAACTGTATGCATTTTTTTGGCAATGAAATCAAAATCAAATTTCACATTCTTATGCATGGACATGTCAGTAGGAGAGCTAAAGCTACGACCAGGAACTGCTGGTGCAGAAATACAGGAAGCACTCTGAAGCAGAAGCCATGTCTGTTTTTAATCCACTTACTTTTGGTGATTAATTGATTGTTGGGAAGATGGATGATACTAACAACAGTGGATTCATAAATGCTGGCTATAATTAAAGAATTTCAGTTTGTGTATTTTGAAAGCAAATATAAATACTTGGTTTGATCTTATAAAATTACATTATAAAAATTTCAAAACTTTAATGTTGTTTCCACTAAAATAGCACAGGACATTATTACTATCTCTCTTAAATTTTGATAACACTTCATGCTACTTAAAATAGGTTATGTTAAAGATGAAGTTGAACTTACGTTATATTCTCTTTTGTAACTTCCAGAAATATAAAGAGAAAGATAAACACAAGCAAAAATATAAGAAGCAGTCGGATTCCTCACCATCCTTGGTTCCATCTCTTACTGTAACTACAGAGAAAGTAAGTCAATGTGTTTTCCTCCTTTTCTACTTCAGTTACGTGGACATTTCATGATGTAATAATTCCAGTGTGTATACCGGAGCTTCAAATGGCATAGGTTCTATAACAATCAAACACACTTGGTTTTTTTTTTCCTACAATGTGAAATTCTAAAATACTTTGAAGTTTATAATATGAAGAAAGGCTTAGATTTTTGTAGTTGAATAATGAGTGATTTAATGGCACCAATCAGGTGCCACTGGTACTCCACTAAGTTTTATTTCCTTGACTTATGTTTAATAATTTGATAAGTTTTAGGAAATCTTTCCTTTGAAATTCACTTGTCTGTGCTGAGCTGTCACTGAAGATGTAAGCATTTAAGCTGGTAATTAGAAGATTGAAGCTTATGCTTCATATACTTGTAATATCACATTGCCTTTTTTTAGCAGTCTGCTCCATTGGGTTCTGTGGTCTTTCCTGTTAATGTGCTAGCAAATATCCAACTCAAGGGACAACGTAGAGGGTTAAATAATAAAGACTGTTCTCATTGTACTCTACAGTAATCACTTTCTCTATCCACCAAAAAAATAACACTAGTAATGGTATTATAAAGTGGGCAGAAGTATTGAGAAATGGGTTTTCTGACTTCGAAGTTGAAAAACATTTGTCCCATTCTTGTGGGAATATTAGATGTCTGAGTTGGGGAATCATGGTTTGAATTAATTAGCCAGCAGTACGTAGAGCACTTTTTTTTAGCTGAAACTTGTGTTAACTGTATGTAGTTTGGTTGCTGAGATGCAATATTCAACAAATGTGTCTATTTGCATATGGCACACCAAGACCTTGTCAGGACAGGGTAAAAGAATTGAAATACCAGCTTTCTCTGGGTAACTAATGGTATCAACTTCAAAAATCATCACCAAAGACGTTAGTCTTTAATATGCTTCAGATATTTCTTTATTCTCAGTAGTAGGAGTACTAACTTGAGGATGTATACCTGTTAACATCCCATTATTTGTGACTTATGCTTCTGATAAACTAGTCTTGTTTCCGGTTCTACTGTGTTCTTTTTGACACTACTATGTCAAGTGAGACTTACTAGTTAGTGGTTTTCTGAAATTCCCAAAACCTCTTTATTTAAAACAAAACAAACAAAAAAAAGTCAATTTGCGGCTTTGCTGTTTTGATTTGAGAGCTATTAGACATTGCAGTCAGTGAGTGAGATGGTTTTTATTGAAATTGTTGTAGAACTCTTTGAATAGTACTGACTGGTTCATGTGTTTTGTTATTTCATTTTATTAATTCATCCCAAACATATTCCTCTTGAGTCTGAGACAACTGATAAAACTCGTATCCTCTAAAATAATTTTGTTGCGTGTGAACTTTCTTTAGGCTATACAATTTTTGTTTAGGCTTTGTGGTATCTATGATCTTACCTGACTTGAATATATCCCTTTTGTACTATGATTATCTAATCATCATCAAAAGTTTTAATGAAAAGAGATGTTGCTGTATATTTGTGTAAAAGTTAAAGAAAATATATTGAAATATTGGTGATTTTTGAGTCTTACATATTAAAATACGCTTTTAATGCTGAAGATGCCACTGGATTCTGGTTTTTTGCTAATTATTTTCTAATTGCACCTCCCTAGACTTTTCCTAATTAAAAGTTTTATGACTGAATGGTGTACCCTTTAGTAAGGTGAACAAGATTAATATCCCATTTTTAGCAGACCTCTGTTTAATCCAAGTAAAAAATGAAAATGTTGCTGAGTTGTTGGCCATGCTTTTAAACAAGATTGTACTATATATGTATGTATAGCAAATACTAAAGAGAATAGAAACTCTGTAATTGTAGAACATAAATTATAAATTAATTAAACTAAACCAGAAGTAATCATTGTGGAATTTAAATATCAATGTCTCCTGTTAGTTTTCTTTTTTTAACCTTTTACACCCTGTGTTTCTTTCTATATAGGCTATCTGCTTCATTTTCTACCTTCTTTTTATAATGCTTCAGACTGTCAGGAAAATTGGTGTTCAGGTTTTTTTTTTAATGAAGTTACTAAGCGTGATTATGTTTTCTTAAAAAGTATCTGTTGAATATTTTGAAGTGATTCTCTATGGCTAGTTCCTTCAGTTATCTTACTTTATTTTTTTTCCCCCCAAAGTCCTTTTGACACCCTTTACATGCATTTGTTTTTCTAGGTTATAAATTCATAGTGTGTTCCTCCAAAAATTTTAATTTTTAATAATTAAGCAAGCTTTGTTTTCTTCTGAGATAAATATTTGGTTGGGAATATTTTGTTAATGTGTTACTTTTGTGTATCCTTTTATATAGAGTTGTCAGAATTGATTTGGACTTGATGTCTTTTTCACAGCAGTCTGTCTTTGCAGTGAATACATTATTTTATCACGCTACATAATCACTTCTGCTACCGTATTGTTCTCATTAGGGGTACTGGAACCTGAAGTGAATTTTGGTTTTCCTTTTTTAAGGAAGAGAAGTCCTTTGTGACACAGTGGTAATGACCATTCATGCAGGTGATACCTTAAAGCATGCTTTTATCTGGATGAGTGGCTTCTTAAGATATATTCATGAAAGGCTGCAGAATAAACTGTGGATTTACATTATGTGAGTTACTATACTTGGCCCGCCTGTTCTGCAAAATTTAATTCCAAGGAATTTTACTGAGGTTCCAGTCCAAATGCTGTGTTGAGTTATGAGTATGCATTTTGTGCATCCCTGTAATGTCTCAGCAAACACTGCTTAGTCTGGATCAGTTAAGTTTGAAAAAGTTTGAAATAAGGAATTCTTAACTACTCTTTGATTAATGTATTAACAAATTTTTCACTTTTCTTTTGGGACATAGATGCAGAATGTTTTAAGGAGGACTAGAATAACTTAGAAACTTGAGTTCTCTCTCTGCCTCTTGCATGAGGTTTTCTTCTGGCCTTCCTTTTAGTTGGGAATTACCATCAACCCTTTATTTAGTCCTGATAAAAGCTTCTGCCTCGGGTTTTGAGCTTTGGGAGGCTCAGCTTGTATCAAAAGTTTAAAAATGTGTATGGTTTAACAGATCCAGAAAAATACAGTTGTCTTGTCTTACTTTTTTTCTAGAGGTTTTTTAGTTAAAACTCCAAAACATTGGTGGATGCAAAGATAGATGAGACAATGTATCTGCTTTCAAATTGCAGCCGATAACTAAATAACAGATATTGCAAACAAAGTACAGCTGACTGAATTTTATCTGTAATAGTAGAGATGATGGTGATAACCCTCCTCAGTTCACCCTGACTATCAGCCTGCTGTGGTTCTCAGGGGAGGTCATCAGATCCTACTGGAGTGCGATACAGAAGGGAATGACATAAGTAGAAAAATCTCTATTTGGTATGACTGAACACCACTGTCCTACAGTACTGTGGTGTTTTTGGGCTATGGGGGTGTGTCTTGATTTTATTTTTTTTGTGTGTGTGTGTGGGGTTTTTTTTGGTGGGTTTTTTGTTTTGTTTGTTTTGTTTGTTTGCTTGTTTTTTGCTTGGACCATTCACTTTCCATCTGGCATTTTAGTGGATGGTTACCTGCTGTGGTCCTTCCCTTCTCTGTGCAAGACTACTGGCCTATATTATAGCAAAGCTATATTAGGGCTAAGGGCTTCTTGAGCCTTGGGACGTACTGTGTATAGCAAGAATGATTATTACGCCTTTACCGTAAAACTGAAGCCTTCCCAGAAGTTTTAAGACTTGCTGCAGATGGGTGGTAATAACAGGGTGCACAGAGTGATACATGGGGGGTGTAAAATGACAGTAGCTCTCTGTGCCCCAAGTTGGCAATGTGAAAATGAGCTTTTAGGGAAAAAGCCTGCAAAGTGGTTTATGGGAAGCATAAAGGAACCCTGATACACACAAGTTAGCTCAATCAAATACTAATTGATTTTTGAGAACAGGATTAACATTCACAACATAACCAAGGAACAGTGTTGGGTGACAGCATCAGGGGAATCTCCTTTTTGGGGGATGTTCGTACTTAAATGGAGAAAAATGACTTGACTGGAGGGTGAGCAGGGAAAGGGGGGGAGCCTTGAGTAGCGCATTCCATTTAAAAAGTGTGTGCTGGCAGGAGGGGGGACTACAGAGGCTGAAACAAGTCACTAAATAACCAAGATGTTCTGCCTCCATTCTCAGATCCTTGCTCCCTGCCAGCCTCACCCTCCTGACCTTAAAAAGTCTCCAAACAAATAAACAAACAAAACCCCCAAAATAACTTTGCTATGGCATATTAAGATTTTTTGGTGACATTTATGGTAGGCCTTTGTCTTTTAGAACTTAGCATTTTAGAAAAGCAGTTTAGGGGTGGGTAAGTTGTTGTATGAACCAATTAGCTTAATAATCTAAAGTTTGTGCTGCAGTTTTATCTTAGATCTTACTGAATATCTTGTGGATTCTCAATGCATATCTGTTCTAGGGCACTTGGTTGCAATTAACTTCTTAAAGTAAGGGATATAATCTGGGAGAAAAAATACTGACCAAATTATACCAATTTTACTTCTCTGAGTGTCTATTGCATCATATTAGTGTTCAAGATACTTTGAGTAAGCGTGCACCTTCCAAAACCTGTTGAAGGAAAATTTTCAAAAGCAGAACTGCACTGTGCATGCATGTTCTCAAAAATCTGCTATGAGCAGGATTCAGGCTTGCAGTCAAACCAAATCTCTGCATAGTATATGCAAATTGATGCCTAATGGTAATTTCCTAGCCCGGGCCAGTCTGCAGAGCTATGTTAAACCCTTAATTTCTTTTTTAAAAGAAAAAAAAAAATCTGCCCCCCCCCTTTCCCCCTTAGTAAAGGAGAAGAGATAATAGATAGCATCAAACTATGATTGTTGATACCTACAGAGAATTATCCTTGCAAGTAATATTCAAATGAGTGGATAGGAGACAAGGATTAGGAAAGAAAGGAATTGGATAAGAGGAGAAATCCCAGATCCTCGAAAAAGCCTGACTTTTGTTTTGGATTATTGCATGTCTGGAAGCCTTTTGTTCAAATGACTCAAATTAGAACCACTGCATCTTAATTCAGGTCAAGTGACACACCAGTTTCAGGAAAATTGGGCATACTTGGGGTCTTCATGATAGTTCGAAAAGTTAACTACTAAACTTACCTTAGAATTGGCTCCATGTTCATTAGAAACGCTTGCCAGTATACTAATACAAATTTGAGGTAAATTATTTTTAACATTGTACTTTAACAGACTTAAACTGATTTTTCTTCACCATTACTAAAAAATCCATAATATATTTTTATTGCAGTTCATAATAGGGTTATATGTGCAATTTTGAAGGACTATGTTTTGCCTTTCTTTTAGGTAGGTAAATTAAAATTAATTCTTTGCTAGCTAAAAATTGTTGGATTTTAGATGGGCTATGCAGAGTTTGTTTCATACCAGTTGATATTTCACAGATACTTCATATATGTTCATAATGATGTATATTTTTCATTGAGAATATTGTATAGCAAGATTAATTTTATTATGATTTGGCTTACTTGCTATAGGAAGAAAAAATAGCAGTAATTGAACAGTGTGAAAATATGAAACATTTGTTTATTCTTGATTTAATGCTAACATGGAGACATTGTTACTTGTGGACCTTAAAGACATGATGGTACTCAACATGAGTTAGTATATCAAAGTTTCAGCTCTAAATGTTAGGATAAGTAGAATCACTTCTCTGAAGTGGCCCAGAGGAACTGACAAAATCGAATTTGATTCTATAGTAGGTTTTAATACTGGATTTCTATTTAGGGTGTGCTCTACTTCTTTTCACTGATGAGTGAAGTGTTTAGAAGCATTGTCTTTACATGGCTTTTTACTACACTAGGTCACATAGGTTGGGTGTAAGTGGGATGGAGAGCTTCAGCGCGAGCCTAAGCTAATGGGGAAAGGGCTTGAAGAGTGAGTCTGGTTGTTTTCTACATTGGCCTATTCTGCATGGAGACACAGTGTAAAACAAAGCATGAAGCTCAACCAGTTTGAATCCTTCCAATTGATGTATTATTTTCCTGTCTTTGGAGTCGCTTGGGTCTGCTCTTGTAGTTTGGAAAGCAGTACCCGTCTTAGCTTGGTTTACAGTGTTTGCATGGAACAAGTTAAAAAAACAACAGTAGAAACTAATACTAAAACAACAGACTGGCGGTAGAATTCAAGTAAAGCAATTTCCATGGAAACCGTGTTTTTAGAGAAGCTAATTGGCCAAGTTGATTCCTCCCCCCAGATAAACACCACTCCTCCCCCAGTAATTCATACAGGGCAACACGCAAATAGATTGAAATTTTCATCTTCCTCAAAGCTTGCCTATTTAGTTGTCTTCTGGCATTCGAAAAGTTAAGTTCTATGTAAATGTCTTAGCTGTTTTAGTAAACATACGGAAAACTTTTAATACCAGCCGTACAAAGCTGTATGTAAAGATGAGGAAATATTCTGCTGTAGGCCTAAATTCAGCAAGCATCCCAATTGGGGAAGAGAAAACTTGTGTATATGCTCAATTTTGAGAGGCATGTGTTTTTGTGGTCTTTAATGGAGATAATTTTAGATACTATTTTAAACTCTCTTCTATAAAAGACTGAAAAACAAACTACGCTTGTTTTGAACAGATTAGTAGCTTCTAGGTTTGATCCATACTTTTTTGTTGAAGAAGCTTTATACAGTCGAAAGGCTATTTTACTAGCTGGTTTGAGTATAAATAACAATAGAATATTATTTCTTTTTTCCTAGTTTTGCTTTTATTTCTTTCTTCTGATATTAAAATTCTGCTATCGCAAGTCCTTTTTTCTTTTTTATTATGAAAACAATTATATTCCCTTGTGTGTTTTCCTAATGCTGTGCATGTAGTTTCCCTGCTCACCTAATTACTTTCTGTGAACCTATTTTGACTATTGTTCACCAATACAAACAATTCTGGAAAATTTGATGGAAGAATAATGGGCCTAAAGATAAAATTGTTGAAAGCCCTGTGAAGAGCTTAAGGGTGTAGGTAGAGAAGGACCAAAATTCTTGGGGATGGGTGGGGATTGAGGAAGAATTCTTCAGTGGGAGCTCAAGAGCATGTTAATGCTTTTTGCTCCCTGTCAGGCAGCAGGGTTCTAGTAGGTAGCCAGTCATTCCTGCACATCTTGGCCAACTAGATCTAATGTGTCTTTCTTGCTTGATGACACTTAAGGAACTGGCGGAATGGGACGGTTCAGTGTGATGATGGGAAGTGAAGACCTAAGGGACAGCTGGGCTTTTTGGAGTTGATTTTGGTTTGGTGTTGAGACTATAAAATCTTAAAAGTTCCTAGGTTCTGAAGCCTTCATCAGTTACACTGCTGATGGAACAAGCTGCATAAAAATTGTATTTTCAGAAAAGCATTTAAAGTCTCATTTTTTCTTTTTAATTTTTAATTTTAAGCAGTAAAATAACAATATCCTATTTAAATAGAATATAAAGACTGTGTAACCACAGATTTGAGATTAATCCATTAACCGCAATGAGGTAAAAATTTCAACCAAAGCTGACATTATTTTTGTGCGTTTTTTTCCCACAAAATGAAGTTTTGTACACTTCAGTGACTTGCTGAAAATCTTAACGATTCAGTTTATGTAACTCGTGCTGTTGCCAATTACCTTAGTGTTTGAACACTTCTAAGTTTATTTGAAAGAATGGGTTATTTTAAACAGTTCTTTTGTTACAGTTTTTTCTGTGACCTAACTGTTTCTTTTCTCTTACTTTTTTTCTCTTATCAAATGCTAGACATACACAAGCACTAGCAACAACTCCATGTCTGGCTCCTTGAAGCGGTTGGAAGATACCACAGCTCGATTTACAAATGCAAATTTCCAGGAAGTTTCTACACACGTTTCAAGTGGAAAAGATTCTTCAGAGGGTAGAGGGTCAGAGAGCAAAGGGAAGAAATCTGCAGGTCATAGCTCAGGTCAGAGGGGAAGAAAACCTGGTGCTGGAAGAAATCCAGGAACAACTGTGACTGCAGCTAGCCCTTTTCAGCAAGGTATTAATTGTTAATGCTGTAACATGACTTTTGCTTTGATGTGAATTGGAAATCTTACATATTTAAAACTTGAAAAGTAATTAATCCTTTATCCTCAACAATGTTGTTTCACTTCGGGGGAAAAATAAAATTCTCCAGGGGAAAAAAGGTTCATTGTCATAACACAAAAAAGAAGGTTGTGCATCTTTAAAGGGCAAACCTGACGCTTTTGTTTAGACTGTTAAAATATTCTCCTTAACTGCTAAACCAGAAGTTTATGTGCTGGAAAGTTAGTCTGGGGTAAAATTCAACATACTAATTTGAGTCTAGGGGTCTTTCGTAGCTCTTTAAGGGAATACTGGTTTTTTTTTTAGTAGTGCATATTAGAATGAAACTGGACTGCCTAATGTATATAGGATGTGGTGGCCCCTAAATAATTTTTAAAGATGCAGACATTTAAAATATACCATTTTCTTCAAAGTGAAAGACCTTTTTATTTCTATTTTTTTGTCATTGAAATACATAATCAGAATATAATTATGTAACAAGTATATACAGTTTGTTTACCTTATGGTAATACAAAAAGTTTGACATTTTGAACTTGCTAAAACCCACTAAATGCACTGTTGACACTTCCGAAAAGCTAATTTTCTTACGGCATCTTCGTCAGAGTTGAAGAAAGATAAAAATTTAAAAAGTCTATTTTTTATTTCTTAACTAATAAAACATGTTTTTTGAAACACAGCAAACTAGACCTGCTATAAAGTAATTGTTTATCCATAATTTTCACTGTGGTGTGTAGTAGCTGACTGTTCTTTCTGCTTTATGATGCTGCTCTTTCTTTGAATTTATTTATGCAATGAGCACTTCTAAATTTGTTTAGAACTCTTTCCATATTTCAGGCTTTTTTAACTTGAAAAAACAGAAGGTTTTTTGTTTGTTTTGTTTAAATTCTCAAAACTTTGAAAATTGCCTTCTGGAATCCTGCATTTAAAGAAAAATCTTGCTCACTGAAGATGGCAAATAGATCTTTACTATGTGAATGTATTTCCTTTAAAGCTGCGTTGATGTAACTTATTTAAAGTACAAAATAACAGTTTTTATGATTTTAAACTTCTGTATTTATGTAAATTATATTTTAAATGGAATTCTTAATATTATGTCTAAGGAATACTAACGATAAAACAGTAATTTTTAAAGGACTTCTTTATACCTGATGTCATATTCAGGAGTGTTCTCCTGACGGCATAGTTGTCATCAGTCTGAGTTCTACAAAACAGTACCCACATGCACCCACCCATAGAAACTTACTGAATTGAAAGTAGATGTTTGTATTTCCTAAGTGTGGTCCATTTTCTGCCTTGTATGCACTAACACAGTGATGAAATGACTGCCCTCCAAATACTACAGAAGCAATGTAATTCTATTACACAAAAGATCTTTATGGTTCTCTGACAGTGCTAAAGAAATCTTAAAATGCCAATTTTATACACTTTTCTCCACTTCCTCTCCTGTCGTTTTGAAAAATACCTCTTCTGTAGAACACCTACCTCCTCAGCCAGGGTAAATTAAGTGCAATTGCTGTTCCCTTGACCTGTGTCAGACCCTTGATTTAGGCAGAGTGGTAAAGGAAGATTGTACGCATAGTGTAGATGTGATCATAGCACGTTTCGATCAGCTGCCTTCTTTTCATATATGTGCACGTTTAAAAAAACCTGCTCTGACTTTTACCAAGTGTTTGTTGTGGCTTCAAAACATGAGGGATGTCCAAGTTGCCTAAGCAGCAAAGTTGTTACTCTCCTTTAATTAATTTTCACCTTGTTTGTGCCCCCAGTTCAAATCTGAATCTCAGGTAGGAATCTGAGAATCAGACCCAGCAGAGTGAAGATAAGCAGGAGAAGCAATAAGTTATCTTAAAAACAAATGCTTTAGCTCTTGCTAATACTTTTCATAAGATCCTTGCACTTCAATTTTTTTGTATTCTAAGATATTAATTGTTTCCATCAATTTTCATCAACTACAGAAAAAAAACCCCAACTTTTTCTTTGCTTTCTTTTTTAGGAAGCTTTTTGGGCACTCCTGGGAGCATAAAGTCATCTTCTGGAAGTTCAGTTCAGTCTCCCCAGGATTTTTTGAGTTTTACAGACACAGATTTGCGAAGTGACAGTTTCGCACATTCTCAACAGGCTTCGTCAACCAAAGATGTACATAAAGGAGAGACTGGGAGTCAAGAGGGGAGTGTCAATTGTTTCACTTCCTTAATTGGTCTCCCTTCATCATCAGCTGTTTCCCAATCTAAAAACTTTGACAGCTCACCTGGAGACATAGGTAATTCAAGCCTTACTTCTACAGCATACAAACGAGCTCAAACTTCTGGAATAGAAGAAGAAACTGTAACAGAGAAGAAACGGAAAGGAAATAAGCAAAGTAAACATGGGCCTGGTAGACCCAAAGGAAATAAAAGTCAAGAAAGTATTTCCCATCTTTCAGTTTCTTCTGCTTCCCCAACTTCATCTGTGGCATCTGCTGCAGGAAGCGTGACAAGCTCTGGTCTTCAAAAATCTCCAACTTTGCTCAGGAATGGAAGTTTACAAAGTCTTAGTGTTGGCTCATCTCCAGTGGGTTCAGGTAGGCATTTACTGGATTTGTTTTCTTACCTCAGAATATGTCTTTTTTATTTTAGCCATAATTCTGAGTATGCTTTTAAGGAACAGGGTTTCTTTTAAAGTATCTTGAAAGTCGCATTGAGAAAAAAGTAAAAATAAGAATATGACTGTTGGAAGAGTAAGTTTTGTTCCATGTATACGTGCCACTGTGCTGTAGGTGGCTGTAGTAGATTGACCTGTGTATTGACCTATATGCTATATAAATGCAGGTTTTGAGGCCATAGGGGGAGAAATATATTGCATGAAAATAGGTTCTTTGGAAATTACATGTGGCAGGTTTGGCTAAAATAAGTGATAGCTTATACAGACTATATTGTCTGTATGTTCTGTTACATAGAGAAAACAAAATCAGTACTCAGGCACGTCAGCTGTGCTGAGCATGTTCCTCAATTACTTTTTCCCAATTTAGCTTAACTAAAAATCAAAATGTCTATATGGAGAATTATCAGTTTAAACATGTAAAAGGATATTCTGAATCTGGACCCCTGTACAGCCAGATGACATTTTCATATTCTTGTGTGCTTTTTAGCAATTGAAATTGGCTGGTTTGTTCTTCCTCTGTTCTAAATGTTACGTGCATCTGGGGCTGTGAGAGGCTTTCTGTTCCCAGTAAACCTGTGCGTGGAATGACCTTGCAGAATACGGTATCTAGCAGTCTTTGTTGCTTTGAAGTTTCTTTCAAGGCCTTTGTGTTTGGATTTAAAAAAAAAAAAAAAGTATCAGTTTGCTTTTTTTGGTAACTTCAACACTTTGTCCTTTTTGCTGTTCTAGTAGTTTTTTTGCTTAATTTTTCCTTTTTTCTGGGGAAAGAGAAATGGAACTTGAATATTTGGTGTGGGCAGGGTTTTATACTTTCATATTGCATATTTTCACTGTATAAGCAAGAGATACTTTAAAAATATACATACTTCAAGAAACAAGAAGCTTCATATTTGTTTCAGAACAAGGCAGGTACTTAAAAACTTGATCTCAGAACCACATTGTTTTATACCTTTGTTAGATGTAGGCAAATTATCATTTTTATTATGGGTAATAATGACAATAGCAGTAGCAACTATATTAAAAATATATTTTTCCTGCCTTGAAATCAATAGGGAGAAATAGTATGTGACAAAATTTCCTAGTTCACTGCCTATCTTTTTGATTAAAATGCAGTTTTAAAAGCATGTTAACCTCATATCTGTTAGGAACAGAGCTCATCCAACAGATTTAGATCAGTGTTCTGATTATTTTAGTCTGAACTCTCTTATTCCTTTAAAATCCCTTTGAGGTGGATTGTATATTGTTTTAGTTGGGGTAACAGACAGAAGTACAAGATCTTGGTTTGAAGTGAATGACCCATGTTTCCCACCTTGTATTTGTTTTGGAATATTCTATTCTTGTCAGCTCCTAGAATAGGCCTTGCTAGCCAGCATTAGACCTGTCCTGTAAAACAGTAGTATTTTCTGGAGGTGCCGAAGAATATGAATGAAAAACGAACAAACAAAATCCATAAACAAAATCACCCCAACAAAAAAACCAGAAAACCCAAAGAAAGAAAAACGGATGGGATGTCTTTGCCTTCGAGCCTGAGCTCTAAATTCATCCACAAACGTGTGCGTGAGTTTGAGCATCTTGTTTTAATGTGCTCTTCTTCCTGATTTCCCGTCTTTCTTATGGTCGTAGCGCTGCTTTCCTCACTTCATCATAAGCATTTTCTGGGTTTAGCAGTCCATTTACAACTTTGTTACAATGAGGAAGGACATATGAGTATTATCAGTGTTATCAGAAACATAACATTTTCTCATGTATGATATGCTGATGTTTCTCTTTGAAATTTCTCTAGGTTGTCCAATATCAAAATCCGACAAGCGAATCTAAATTATTTGACCCAAAACCCCAAATAAGATTTTGTGCATGTCAATGTAGTGAGAGAAAATGGAGGGGAAGTCAAGCCAAAAATTTTTTACTCTTACTTGGAATTGCTGTTACTTCAAAGAAGCAGAATCAGGAATCAGTTAGGCCGTATTAAACAAAGCTTTTGAGGCACTTTTTCAAGAATCTCCTCCTAATTTTTTTTTTTTAATAACCTTCTTAACTGCAGCTATCTTAAACTACCATTCCTTTTCCATTTTCTTAAGGGTACTTGTTGAGATCCATAAAAATTATGAAAATCATTACTTCACAGTCGTATGATAATCCTGTTCATGGTTAATGTTCCAATTAGATGAAATGTGAAGGAAAGCTATATTTTAAAAGGTAATGCAGATTCATCATCTGCTATTTATACATAATTAAATGTCTTCCATAAAACTTTTATTCAGAGTAAGTACATTCAGATCATTTTGTGAAAATATTTGTGCTCTCCAAACTTTTTTCCAGTCCATAGTACTTGCCTTTTCCTGCTTAAAAAGAACAGAGATGTACCATGAATAGTACAAGGCCATGTAATTAAAAGCTGTTACAATATATACACTCAGGTTGTATTACAGTTGCCATGCAACTGATCTAATGCTTTCAAAATTTTGAGTGCTTGAATGTTCAATCTTAATGCTCTTTATAATTTTTTCTGAAATGTATTTGTAATCTGATAGGAAACACTGTATGCATTACTTCAACAGTGTACTCAAAGGAATGAAAAGTAATTTAAGAAAATGAAATAAAATTTAGTTGGTAGGTTGATAAGGAATTTTTATATTAAATTAACGTTTTTCTAGTACAGCTGTCCTTGTTTAAAAAAAAAAAAAAAAAACTTTTTTTGCCAGTAAAAGTTTTTTTACAAACCATACTTATCTTTCTGCTGGAAAGACAAAGACTGATGTACCATGAATAGTACAAGGCCATGTAATTAAAAGCTGTTACAATATATACACTCAGGTTGTATTACAGTTGCCATGCAACTGATCTAATGCTTTCAAAATTTTGAGTGCTTGAATGTTCAATCTTAATGCTCTTTATAATTTTTTCTGAAATGTATTTGTAATCTGATAGGAAACACTGTATGCATTACTTCAACAGTGTACTCAAAGGAATGAAAAGTAATTTAAGAAAATGAAATAAAATTTAGTTGGTAGGTTGATAAGGAATTTTTATATTAAATTAACGTTTTTCTAGTACAGCTGTCCTTGTTTAAAAAAAAAAAAAAAAAAGCTTTTTTAGCCAGTAACAGTTTATTTACAAACCATACTTATCTTTCTGCTGGAAATTGACAAAGACTGCAAGTTTCTTGTCTAAGGAGATACAAGTCAGTTGTCAGTGGGAGTTATATAAAGCTGATATTTGCTTCCCCAAAATGAGACTGGTCTTTAGAGTGATTTCAGGGTCTGAATTTTTCAATGGGGGAGGGCTTAATCTGAACTCTATGATTTTATCGAGATATTTAACTTTTTAAAAGTCACACTAGTTGTATTCTCAGGATTAAGTTCATTCTTTGCATCCTTCTAGGGAATAACACTTAAAGGTTTCTAGTCTGAAGTGTTGTAAAGCAGTGGTCTCTTCTGCTGAAGATTTTTATTATTTCCTTTTCACAACAATTGTGATTAAAGAACAGAAAACCTTAATCCAGCGACTGGAAAGAATTGAGTAGCATCTTGTCCCAGTGCTTACCTCTGCTAGTAGTAGACTCCCTGATCAAATGTTTCTTTTACCACACCAGTACTTTATTTCAACAGTAGTGCAGAAACTAATAAGGTGAAGGGAAGAAGAAAAAATACTTTTATGATAAATAATTTTCATACATTCTGTATTTTTCTGTCAAGCAGTTTGTGCAGGCTCTGGCCCTTCATTGTTTGGAGTACACTCCAGTGCATGAAGACATTTCTGAGAACTCATGTCCCATAGCAGTAGGGGAAAAAAGAAATATATATATATATGTGATGTACAGTACTTTCTGACTTTTGTGGAATAACACAGCAAAGTAAAATGGAAAGCATTCAAGTGTCAGAAGTAAACTGAAATTTCTGTTTTATGGTAGATAAAGTTCTTGCACTGTTATCTTCAAGTTCTTCATGGGTACTTGCTGCTGAAAGAATTACAGTGCTTCAAGCATGTAGGGATGCTTCTCTGTCTTTCCCAGTTCTGTTCTTGAGTCCAAGTGTACAGCAAATTGTATAGTATCAACTTCAGTTGCTGAGGACTTCAGGGGATCATTTGCTTCAATATTTTAATTTTTACATAATTGATTTTTATGCCCTTATGGATACTGTAAACCCTAGAAGACCTTATAAAGCAATTCTTTTTTTCCTGAAGAAGACTAGGGAAGGTTAAATTCCAAATTGGGCCTTGAAATGGTTAGCCCATTCTTTAAGCACCCTTGCTGTGCCCATCTTCTGGAATTCCTTTGTCACAGTTGAGGCAACCTTATAATTTGTCTTCCTACGTTTTATCACTACCTCATATATATTCTACCCTTGACCAGTTTTCAGTATGCTTTAGTTGGTAATACTAGGCAGTTGCTGGAAAAAAAGATGTATCCAAACCCAGTATTGTACTATAATGTAGCAATATTTCAAACTCTGATTTTGAAACCAGTTAATGTTTTTTGCCACAGGCCCTTCTGGGTTGATCGCATGTTTTGTGCAGTCAAATTTCAGATTTATACAGGAGTTTACTAAATGCTTCAGCTCAGTCCGTGTATTTTATTCTCCTTTCTCATATAATTCAAGCAGTGATGAAACCTCTGCCAAATGTTATGCTCCTGTGTAAGGAGGTGATCTTACTGTTAAGCTCATTGTCATACTGATGATGTAAGAGAATTGGAGCTTCAAAGTAGATGAGTAACTTGAAGTCATTCTCCTTGAGATACTGACTCCATCAGAGCTTATATTAAATCTTCATGATGTTATGTTTAAACTCCTCTGTAGCCTTTGACTTACTAGCTAAATCTATTGGGAGAAAGAGTTCAGACAAAATTATTTTGAAACAGTTTGTGCTGTTACATTTATCTGCTAGGTGCCCCAGAAGCCGAAACAGAAAAAGAAGTCT